TAACCTACTTGCCCGTGTAGGTTTGTTCTGGAGATTCCCAAGCCCAGGCTGTGTGTCTGTTTTTAAAAATAATATATTTCCATAGTAACAGCTCCTGCCTATAGAGCACGTGCAGAGGGGGTGGTAATGACAGGGGAGCTGGCAATGTAACACTGGACTGAATAGATTCAGCCACAAGACCTTGCACTCCGAGTATGTGATATCCCAACAAGCTCCCAAGAAATGGTGCCGTAGGTACACTGCCCAACCTCTGGCCTCAGGAGCCAGCTTTTCCTAGACTCAAGGAGTTGATTCAACCTCTACAGGACTGGGGCTCATCAATGCTTGCTGAGGACAGGGGAAGGAAATACCTGCAAAAGGATTCAAAGGAATCCTGTGGGAATTCACTTTCTCCCAAGAGCCCCTTCTTCATACATGTGGGAAGGTCTTTGGCACACAGTCCCTTTCTTAAAGAGGTAGGATGGAAAGGTGTTAAGTGTCTTTCTCCCAAACCCAAATAGTTGTCCGAGGAATGAGCACATGAAAATAAGAGAATAAACAATGCCTTTTAAAGTGTGAGGTTGCAGGGCTAGGTAGAACCTGACAGGTCAGCAACAGGTTTGTCTAAGCCAGAGGAGGTGGTGGGGTAGGCTGGGCCTCCCTGGATTTCCCTGTAAGAAATGATGGGGAGAGGTGGGGATGAATGAAGTAACCTCCTGTGGCCTGCCCATGTACTGTCACTGGACTGCCAAATCAGTGGAGATTCCTAGAGTCTGGGTTTCTAATCTCAAAGGGAGGAGAAGGCATGAAATCAAGGGAGGAGAGAACTCAGGGCCAGAACCCAGGGATGCAGGAGGAAGCTGTCAGTGGGGAGAGCAGCTAGGGTTTAGGGGAGCAGGTTATGCAGGAAGTTGTCCAGGTAGAAGGTTTCCCTATGAAGACCCTCTTCCCCCAAGAATCCTTCAGGAACCCTCAGAACCCCAGTGATCTCCATTCTCCGACTTCTTTGATTTATTCCCTTAACTTCTCCACTGAGTGCTTGGTCCTATGCTGCCAGATACTGCTTCACAATTCAGTCTTACATGAGTCTCCCTAGTTAGTCCTCCCTCTTTTTTTTTTTTTTTTTTCTTTTTTTTGAGACAGAGTCACTGTTGCCAAGACTGGTGTGCAGTGGCGAGATCTCATCTCACTGCAACCTCCACCTCCTAGGTTCGAGTGATTCTCCTGCCTCAGCCTCCCAAGTAGTTGGGACTATAGGCATGAGCCATCATGCCTGGCTAATTTTTGTTATTTTTAGTAGAGACAGGGTTTCAGCATGTTGGCCAGGCTGATCTCGAACTCCTGACCTCAGGTGATCCTCCCGCCACTGCACCCAGCCTAGCCCTCCCTCTTTCATCCATTACTTGGACATCTAGCACTTACTTCATTCTGCCTTAGAGTCTAGCTGATTGTTTATATGTCTGCTTTTTCCATTCATCAGGAAGCTGCCTAGGGGTGGGAACCATGTCTTAGTCATATCTCTTCCCTCAGATTCAACCAAGATGCTCTAAATATGCTGAGGTAGACTCCTTGGGGACAAGCAACTATAATTATATCAGTTTGTATCCTCCACCGTACTGAAGAGCTTCCTATGCACATAGTAGGGATTAACAAACTTTGTAATTTTAAGAAGTCTAGCCAGGCGCGGTGGCTCACGCCTGTAATCCCAGCACTTTGGGAGGCTGGGGCGGGCGGATCATGAGGTCAGGAGATCAAGACTATCCTGGCTAACATGGTGAAACCCTGTGTCTACTAAAAATACAAAAATTAGCCAGGCGTGTTGGCGGGTGCCTGTAGTCCCAGCTACTAGGGAGGCTGAGGCAGGAGAATGGTGTGAACCTGGGAGGCGGAGGTTGCAGTGAGCTGAGATGGCGCCACTGCACTCCAGCCTGGGCTACTCCGTCTCAAAAAAAAAAAAAGGGGGACTAACAGAAGAGAATTTCTATGCCATTTCTGTCTTTTGAAATATCATTCATGCCATACCAGTGGAATGGGAAATCCTGGGGCTTGCTTTTAATTAACAACTTTTTTTCTAGACTAAGAGAGGAGAGGTGGGAGGAAAAGGAAAAAGAGTGATTCAGCTGTCTGGACAGAGCCACAGATAGAGTCGTGCAAGTGTCACAGCCCCAGACTATCCAGAGGGGTCTCATTGTCTTTGTGGCACTATGAAACATTTTTGGGACAGGCTTTGTCTAGCAATCAGATTTAGTGGATTGACCTTGCTCATTGGGAGCCACTCAGGGCTACTTAGAAGAGATGTGCATCTCAAACACTGTCTGCTCAGTCCAGGGCCACTGACAAGTCAGCTGGTCTGTGAATTCTAGGGCCTGCATCAGCATTCAAGAAAATGCTTTGAACTTTTACCAGGAAAGGCACACAACTTCAAGTGAAGCCAAAAATCATGTGTTTGTTTGTTTCTCCTTCTGATTAGTCTGATAATCAACTGGGCCTTTACCATCATGGGAACAAAAATACTCAGATTATCTGACAAGCATCTTAGTAACCATTTTCTGATGGTAATTTGTATATGTGGATGATGAATCCTTAGTATCTCTTGTCTTTGATTATGTCCTCCCGCCCTCCCCAGGAGGGTGATGGTAGGGAGGGCTAATGATCTCTGGAGAAGAAAGAGACAAAGCTTCCCAATACCAGGCTGGGAAGGAAGATTTATTAGGATTGGCCTCCTCGGAGCTTACAGTGAGCTGAGATCCGGCCACTGCACTCCAGCCTGGGCGACAGAGCGAGACTCCGTCTCAAAAAAAAAAAAAAAAAGGATTGGCCTCCTAATAAAAAAGGAAATAGATACAGACTGGCTCTCAGACCTCCAGGGAGTCTCAGTATACTCATCATCAACAGGATAACTGAATGCTGCCTCCTCTGGGATCCCACAAGCTCCTCCTTTCCACCTGCTTCTGGCGTCTCACTGTCGCCGCCTGTGAAAGGTCCTTCTACTCTTATAATCTACTGAAATGATACTTCTCTTCCTCAAGACCACTTACTGTGGTCACAACTGATTGCTCCCTCCATATGCACCTCAGTGCTTCTTTCAGACTCAGCCTCATTACGTGTGATGATGCCTTCCTTGTACACAGATGTTTGTGTTCCTAGCCCCATGGGGACACCCTGTGGAAGAGAAAGCACTTGCCTCCTGGGAGTTTCTAGTTCAAGAGGGGCACACGTGCATACACACAACACACACACAGAAAAATAACAGCAGTGGGATAAGTACTGAAAATCTGGTGGAATACTAGCAAGTAAATTATGAGAATGTATGTATTTTATACATATCTGGGTTTTTGTTGTTAATTAGAGCCATTTTCAAGTAGAAAAGCCATTTCACATCTGAGTTTGTTTGTTTGTTTGTTTGCTTGTTTTGAGACAGTTTCCCTCTGTTGCCCAGGCTGGGGTGCAGTGGCATGATTTCGGCTCACTGCAACCTCTATATCCTGGGTTGAAGCGATCCTTCTGCCTCAGCCTCCTGAGTAGCTGGGATTACGGGCATGTGCCACCACGCCCGGCTAATTTTTGTATTTTCAGTAGAGATGGGGTTTCACCATGTTGGTCAGGCTGGTCTTGAACTCCTGACCTCAAGTGAGCCACCCACCTTCGCCTCCCAAAGTGCTGGGATTACAGACATGAGCCACCACGCCCGGCCTCACATTTGATTTTGAGGGAAGGAAGGAACTATCTTCCGCTTAAAAAGAGTCAACATGACCCTGACTCCTGGAACATGCCAAAGAGGGAAGAGTGGACAAAGTGCTAGGCTATTGGAGTCCTTTCCCTAACTCACTGGTGGTGACTTCCTCTCTGACCAATGGAAATCATTTACCGCCTAAGAGCCTGTGGGGGAATGAAAGGTAATAAAGATGCTGGTGGCCAGGCGCGGTGGCTCAAGCCTGTAATCCCAGCACTTTGGGAGGCCGAGAAGGGCGGATCACGAGGTCGGCAGATCGAGATCATCCTGGCTAACACGGTGAAACCCCGTCTCTACTAAAACACACAAAAAAACTAGGCGGGCGAGGTGGCGGGCGCCTGTAGTCCCAGCTACTCAGGAGGCTGAGGCAGGAGAACGGCGTAAATCCGGGAGGCGGAGTTTGCAGTGAGCTGAGATCCGGCCACTGCACTCCAGCCTGGGTGACAGAGCAAGACTCCGTCTCAAAAAAAAAAAAAAAAAAAGAAAAAAAGAAAAAAAAAAAAAGATGCTGGTGAACTGGCTGGGCGTGGTGGCTCAGGCCTGTAATCACAGCATTTTGGGAGGCCGAGGCGGGCAGATCGCCTGAGGTCAAGAGTTCAAGACCAGCCTGACCAAAATGGGGAAACCCCGTCTCTACTAAAAATACAAAATTAGCCGGGCGTGGTGGCGCATGCCTGTAATCCAAGCTACTGCCTGTAATCCCAGCTACTCGGGAGGCTGAGGCAGGAGAATCGCTTGACCCTAGCAAGTGGAGGTTGCAGTAAGCCGAGATCGCGCCATTGCACTCCAGCCTGGGCAACAAGAGCGAAACTCCATCTCAAAAAAAAAAAAAAAAAAACAGCTGGCGAATTGTTGTTTGCAGGGGAACAGGCCAAGCAAAATGCACAGCGACCTGCAGGAGGCCAAGCAAAATGCACAGTGACCTACAGGAAGAAACCTGACTGGGAGTTCCTCAGACTCACAGGAAGTCAGTTGTGGGTCTGATTTCTCTGCCTCCTTAGCTGTTTCCAGAGCCTCAGCCTGGAAATCTCCGTCTCCTCCTTGTGGGCGCTAAGTACAATGGATCCAGGGCCAAGCTGAAGTCCCGAGTTAAATCCAAGACCTGAGGGTACTCCCAATCCCTGAGTGAAGTGCTGCGCTGGGTTGCCGGGCAACTAACTGCTACAGCTGGGGCAGAAGGTGGGTGGGATGCTGAGAAAAAAATACCAGGATCGAGGACAAGAAAAACAGAGTGGGAGGGGCTTTTCAAGGATCTACACTTCAGAATTTACACCATCCTTCCAAACCGTAGCTGCGTTTCCGGGAACTGAGTTGTGTTTACCTTGGCTTCTGACTATGTTGGCAACAGGTTTCCTGCAAGGAACAGGCGCGGCTCCACACCATCGTCCCTCCTCCCCACCCCCTGCCTTTCAATAGCCATTTTCCTGAAGCCGGAGGCATCCCAGATTAAGGGCAACGTACGGGCCCTTTAAAATTGACCTACGGAGGCGGACTGAGCTAAAACTGACGTGCAACCGGAATGTGAGCTGTATCAGACACGTGGTACAAGGAGGCATTCATCTTGGAACCGGGCAACTGGCATTTCCGCTCTGGGTAGTACATCTTTAAAATAATGTTAGGGAAGTATCCGTTCTTGGCTGCTTTTCTTTAATTGCGTTTCCAATACTCTCTCGGTGATTCTACTCTCGAACATAGGATGAAATTTAGAATCACACTTCTTTTTCACCTCCACCCCCCCACACACACCTCTAGTGCCCATATTAAAAATGGCGGCTGCCGCCCTCCGCAGTAATAGTTGTTCAGCGAACAAAATCCGGGCGGAAACAGTAGGTAGGCTGGTTCAGTGGGGCAGAACCTAGGTTGCCTTAGAGAGGTTCTTCGAGGTCCCGGGGGCGGCTCAAGTCAGAGTTGTTGGATTCTGCTCAGATTGGTGTGGGAAGAGCCTGCCTGTGGGGAGCGGCCACTACATACTGCTGAGGCCTCAGGACTGCTGCTCAGCTTGCCAGTTACCTGAAGAGGCGGCGGAGCCGGGCCCCTGACCGGTCACCATGTGGGCCTTCTCGGAATTGCCCATGCCGCTGCTGGTCAATTTGATCGTCTCGCTGCTGGGATTTGTGGCCACAGTCATCCTCATCCCAGCCTTCCGGGGCCACTTCATTGCTGCGCGCCTCTGTGGTCAGGACCTCAACAAAACCAGCCGACAACAGATGTGAGCAGCGGCACACGGTTCCGGGCAGGGGGCAAGGGCTAAGGAAGGAGTGGCTAGGGCAGGGGCGGGGACCGGGGTGCTTGACCACACGTGAAAACTCAGAACTAACCCAGGCAGCCTGGAACTCGGAGAGGTGATGAGCAGAACTTATTCGCATTGGGGAAAGGATGGGTAGGGAACCTTGGGTATATCAGGGACTCTAGCAGTGGTGCTTTCCTCCCTCCGCCTCCCTCACCACTTCCCAAAATAAAAAACCAGGAATGAGAAGACCGCTTTGGGTTATTGTAACACCTGCACTAGTGAGTGACCACGCCCCCTTTCCTCTTTCCCCTCGCCCCCTTGCTGCTGGGCCACAGCCCAGAATCCCAGGGAGTGATCAGCGGTGCTGTTTTCCTTATCATCCTCTTCTGCTTCATCCCTTTCCCCTTCCTGAACTGCTTTGTGAAGGAGCAGTGTAAGGCATTCCCCCACCATGAAGTAAGTGGGTTCGTGGGGGTGGTTGCCTGTGGCTGGGACCTGGGAGGTACCTGAGAGAATTGGTGTTATTTGGGCTTGTGGGGAGGGGCTAAGAAATGATAAGAAAAGACAAGAATTCTTAAAAGGTGAAATGGGAGCAGGCTTGAGTCATGGACCTGCCCTAGCCTCCCCCAGTTTGTGGCCCTGATAGGTGCCCTCCTTGCCATCTGCTGCATGATCTTCCTGGGCTTTGCGGATGATGTACTGAATCTGCGCTGGCGCCATAAGCTGCTGCTACCCACAGCTGCCTCACTACCTCTCCTCATGGTCTATTTCACCAACTTTGGCAACACGACCATTGTGGTGCCGAAGCCCTTCCGCCCGATTCTTGGCCTGCATCTGGACTTGGGTAGGTAGTCCTGCCACTGCTACTCCTATGGCACCTACTTCAGGGCACCCTTCCTGGTGCTTCACATTCTCCTTCAAGTGTTCCTTTTCTGTCTCTGTGTCTTCCCAGATCCTTTCTGGTAGCCCTTCATCCTATCCTCTGTCCTCACCACTTTTCTAAATCCTCCTCCCCTAGGTGGCACTACTTTTCCTACCATCTCTCCCTTCAGGAATCCTGTACTATGTCTACATGGGGCTGCTGGCAGTGTTCTGTACCAATGCCATCAATATCCTAGCAGGAATTAATGGCCTAGAGGCTGGCCAGTCACTAGTCATTTCTGCTTCCATCATTGTCTTCAACCTGGTAGAGTTGGAAGGTAGGTGGGATTGGGGGTGGGGAGAGAGAAGTCTGAATGTTAAAGGTGTGGCCTGATATATGACTTTGGGAAATTCAGGGAAAAAAAGCAATATGCGTAGTAATTATAGAAGGTAAGGGAGGCTACTTACTTTGCAAATAATGCAGATTTATTAAAAGTGAGAAAGAAAAATAGCAGCCGTGTCATTTATAGCTGGATTGGCACTAACAGCTAGGCCATGATCTTCTCCCATTGAATATAAACAATTTCACAGAACCTCAACGTTACACAGGGTCATTCTGTGACCATGATGGAGGAAGACCAAAACTAGACCCCTCCCTCTATAATCCTGTTTGAGCACAGATAAAACCACAAAAACACTGAGCAACCCACAAAATGGCCAAGATCCTCTCTCTCGGTTAATGTGAGCCATGAGCGACTGCTGCGGCTTTCCAATAACAACTCAGTTCCTACCACCTTTTTTTTTGTTTTTTGAGACAGGGTCTCCCTCTGTCACCCAGGCTGGAGAGCAGTGGCACGATCTTAGCTCACTGCATCCTCTGACTCAAACGATCCTCCTGCCCCAGCCTCCCAGGTAGCTGGGGCTACAGACATGCGCCACCACACCTGGCAAATTTTTGTATTTTTTGTAGAGACAGGGTTTCACCACGTTGCCTAGGCTGGTCTTGAACTCCTGGGCCGAAGTGATTTGTCAGCCTTGGCCTCCCAAAGTGCTGGGATTACACTCTTGAGCCACTGTGGCCAGCCAGTTCCTACCACTTCTTAGATAAACATTAAAATGCTTGATCATAGAATTATTGTTGTTTTCTTTTCTTTTT